CACATGCCTATCAGAATGACCAAAATGAAAACTAGTAATAACACAAATGCTAATAAAGCCGGGGAGAAACTGGATCACTCCCCAGTGAGGTGAGTGAAATAATGTGAAATAATACAGGATAATATAATTGTTAAAAATGCTGTCTGGCTAAAAAAACGCTGGCTGGAGGCTAATCAGTTCTCTTGGAGCATCCAATTATGCCTGCACCCCAGCCACCTTCTTTATTGAGCTATCAATCTTCTGCCCACTATACACCTGCCTTAATTACCCCGGGGCCAGGTACCAGACGACCAAGGACAGCTCCTATGCCCCAGAACCCACCAAAATGATTCAAATAAGCTAATCCAAAACTTATTTAACCTTGCCTTGCCCATTTTTTTCCTGCAGAAATCACAACAAACACAATTGCCCATAATTGCCCTCTTTCTGCCTCCTGCCCAATCCTGGTGCTTCCCCATGTAGCCCTACACCTACATGGTGTGTTATATTCCTCCCAATGAGCCTGGGTCAACAATACCATAAAATTCTTTGTTTTTTCTCTTTTGATCTGTGTCTGGCCTCCATGTACCTCACCCAAGGTAATACACTTGAAACATATGGCCACTCTGGAAAATGGTTTGGCAGTTCCTTTTAGAACTAAAAATGTATGGGCAGCCCCAGTGACCCAGCAGTTTAGCACCACCTTCAGCCCAGGGCGTGATCCTGGAGACGCGGGCTCGAGTCCCACATTGGGCTCCCTGTGTGGAGCCTGCTTCTCCCTCTGCCTGTGTCTCTGCCTCTCTCTCTCTGTGTCTGTCATGAATAAATAAATAAAATCTTAAAAAAAAAAGAACTAAAAATGTAGTTATCACATGAGCCAGCGATGACACTCTCCAGCCTTTATCACAGAAGAGTGAGAGCTCATTTTTAGCGGAAAGTTGTATGTGAATGTTGTGCGTGAATGTTCTAGCAGGCTTATGCATAATAGCCCCAAACTAGGGATGACCTTAATGCCTTTCAACTGATGAATGGTTAAATAAACTGTGGTATATCCATACCGTGGAACAGTATTTAGTAATAAAAACAACTATTGTTACAACAACTCAAATGAACCGCAAGGAAGTTATGCCAAGCCATCACCAAAGGATACATGCTGCATAATTCCATCTATATGGCCCTTGTGAAAGAACATAATTAGAGAGAGGAGGTTAGTGGTTGACCTGGGCTAGGGACGGGTGGGGAAGGGGAGGACGTGTCTGTAAAAGCACAGTGCAGGAAGTCTTGAGGTGATGGTATAATTAAGTATCATGACTGTGGTGGTGGTTCCATGAAGCTACACACATGACAAGATTGCATAGAGCCACACATACATGTACGCTTGCATAGCCAAGTATATGTAAAGTGGTACAATCTGAATAAACTCAATGATTTGTGCCTCATGTCAAGTTTCTGGTTTTGATATTGAACTAGAGCTCTACAAGATGTGAGCATCAGGGGAGGTTGGGTGAAGGGTGCATGGGACCTCTTTGTACATTTCCTTGCAATCTCATGTGATTCTATAATTAATTCAAAATGAAAAGTGTTTTTTTTTTAAGCTGGAAAGAAACTTCCATAAAGGAAAATAAGCACAGCAAAACTTCAAAATCTTCAAAAGTCTCAGAAATTGGCATCAGCTACATATTCAACTGAAAATTATGTTGTTGTTGTTGTTGTTGTTGTTGTTGTTGTTGTTTTAAATGTAAGAGAGGCTAAAACCAAAAATGAAAGAAAGCACTCAGAAGAAATCAGACCCCAGGTCCCCTCCCCTACTCTGCTCAGCCAGGTGTCTGCCCCTCCCCCACTCTGGGGTTTTTATTCTCTGATGAGAGTAAAGCAGAGGGTGTCTCAATATTTATTCCTACACAGCTGTAAGAATGCTGGCAACTGAAGGGATGTTGGAAAATTTCATCTTTATTCTGGAAGAAGAGTTATCCTGTAGTCGCAGTACAAGTTAGCCATTTGGCCTCTTTAAAATAACTTTAAAAAGAGGAAAATGGGAGGATGGTTAGCTATACAGCAGTCACTGGTTCTTACCCATCTGGTTTTCTAGGAACACTTCTCTGGAGGTAGAGTAAGTTATTGGTCAGCCCACCTGGCAGTCCTTTGTCCACTGGCCTCTACAGCTTTACCCCTGCCTTCTACAAGGTACATTATCTTTCGTGTTCACATTAGACTTGGGAATTAGAGTGCCTGCTTCCGGCTGGTGCAGATTTGAGAAATTGGGTGTTGCTTACAGGGTTAAATAATTGCGGAGTCATGGGCCATATTGGTGGTTCCCTTGGCAATATATTTCCCTCCAAAACCTACTAGGCTTCCATTCTATTCACACTTTATTAATTCCATATGAAAGTACTCATAGCCAAAGATATTGCTTGGACACAGTTTTAAAATCTTAGGAATTGAGTCATTTCCTTATTTGCTTTTGTGGTCTGCTCATTACCAAATTTCACAACCTAATGAAACTGAGGCTATTTTTTAAATAATCAACTCAGTTTGAAAGGCAACACTCTCAGTCTACCTTTCTCCCAGCAAGCTTTAGGTTTCTGCATGATGGGGCATCAATCTTATCTCCAGCCAAAGACACACCTTGATTCTGGAAGAATTTAGCCTTGAGCTGGTATTGTGTATCTCTGTCATAAAATGCTCAGCAACTAGGTTTCTTCCAGCTTCCATTCTTATTCTGACCATTCTCATGGTCAAAGATGGTAGTTTCAAGTTCCAGGCAGCAGGACAGCAGGAGGGCTAAGGGAAGGAGGCAGCAATAGATGGGGGCTTCTTTGGGGTTGGGAAGAGGAGGCTCCCTTTGTTAGAAGAAGTATGCATGTGGGTATCTGGTACACAGAGGGATGACCATGGCTGAGATGGTCATCTGTTCAACAAAATTCATGCTGTTCCTTCCATTTGTATAGGTTCGTTGCTGAGAAGCAGCTGCTCAGACAGAATCAAGTTCTAAGCTTGTGAAATCTTTCCCAAGGCTTTTTTGCATTTCGTGGGATACATGACTAGTTCTCGCCAGCAGAGCATGGGAAGGAGTGCTATGAGTAACTTCAAGCTAAGCTAGTTAAGAAGCACTTAGGCTTCTCTCCATCTCTGCCCTGTTTACCAGGTGGATACAGAGGGCTCCAAAGCCTAGGGCAGGGATTCTTAATGTTTTTTATGCCACAAGCCACCTTGGTAGTCTGGTAAAGTCTGTAAACCCCTGTTTACAGAATAATGACAGAATAATGTCTTCTAAAGACATTATAAAGACAGAATAATGTCTTCTAAAAAGCATTAAATATGATACATAGGATTACAAAGGAAATCAGTTATACTGAAATATGGTTACCAAGATATTCTATTATGACATAATTTCTATGCATTTGAATAGCATATCAAATCACAAGATCTACTGGAGGCTCTAATAGCTACTGCATTTTCGAAGTAGTAAATGAATGAAAATGATATTTCAGGATATCCCCAACATTTTCTGTTAGGATGAAGACAATGTTTTCAAACTAGAGAGAGAGGGTTACTCAACATTGTGAAAGCACAAAATATCATTGAATTGCAAACTTTAAAATGGTTAATTTGGGGTGCCCAGGTGGCTCAGTCGGTTAAGCGTCTGCCTTCTGTTCAGGTCATGATCTCAGGGTCCTGGGATCAAGCCCCACATTGGGCTCCTACTCAGTGGGAAGTCTGTTTCTCCCTCTGCCGCTCCCTCTGCTTGTGCTCTCTCACTCTCTCAAATAAATAAAATCTTTAAAAAAATGGTTAATTTTAAGTTATGTGAATTTCACCCCAATCAAAAAAGAAACAATTAACTGGGGGGGGGAGATCTCCCCAACTAATAGGATAGAATATTAAACTGTCAGGCTGGGGTTTCCACTGGTGATAGAAGTACTACTCATTCTACTGGGATTGTTACCTAGATTCAAAATGGCAGGAAATGTGAAATTTTTTTCATCTGGGTTCACAGCATCCTACCGTGAGGTCTAGGCACAGATCCCTAAGGAGTACCTGGACCGCCCCCCCACCCCCACAAAAACTCTTGAACTAGGGATGACAAATCCACAAGAGGAAGGAGCTTGGGTCCCCAGGTCCCTGAATCACTACATGCAAGAAACTCCTCTGCTGATAGAGTTGTTACATGAGCAAGATATTTTGTATTTGTTTATTATAGCAGCTAGCATTACCCTGAGGCAGTAAGTTCCCATTTCTGCTTAATTATGAGTCAGGCTTCTATTCCAGAAACTGAATAAATCCTAACAAATTCAGAGAATGACCATAAATCAAATTACACATAAAGACTCTGGAGACTCTGTCACCTCAGCCCCTCCCAATGAAGCCTCATGGCCCCTACCATCTCTGGAGAGACCCACAGTTGGTCTCCTGCCATCACGCCAACACCCCATATGTCCCATAATAAGTAGCAAAGGAACAAAATATTTTTCACCCAGGGTAGTATCGGTGATGAATCTGCCCATAGAATTTGATGCAAATAACCCTAATGTTTGGACTTGCAGACTCAGAGTCAGTAAGCACCTCATCCAGTAAGCATATTTGAAGGGGTTTTGGTGTGTTTGTTTTGTTTTGTTATTTAAGGCCAAAGCTTTGTAATTAATTCAAATCTCTAGAGAGTGTGGCTGGAGTAGGGCCAGAGATGAGACATTAATTTTCTTCTTCCTTTCTGCTGTTTGGTTTTAATCATTTTTGAAGTTTTTTGTTTTTCTAAAGATTTTATTTGTTTATCCATGTGAGACACACACACAGAGAGGCAGAGACATAGGCAGAGGGAGAAGCAAGCTCCGGGTGGGGAGCCTGACGAGGGACTTGATCCTGGACCCCCGGGAATCACACCCTGAGCCAAAGGCAGACGTTCAACCGCTGAGCCACCCAGGTGTCCTGGTTTTAAGCATTTTTGAAACCATGACCGCAAATTGCTTATACAACAAGGAAAAAGGGAGTTTAACCTTAGAAAAAAATACACTTGAAAACAGAAATGGATTTGCAGCCTTTGCCTGTTCCCACTACTTCTTTACAGTGAGTCTTCAGGGAGAGCATCTAAGCTCTGAAATGGGAGAGCCCCACCCTGTCTCCCACATTCTGAGGCACCAAGGCACTTTCTCCTCACTGTGTACTAGTAGTTGAACCAGGACTGGATTGGTTCCCAGAGAAGCAACTAGCAGGAGGTCTGAGCAGGTACAGCTGATACAGAGGCCTTGGACCTCGGCTTCTTTCTGCCTTTCTACATCTATTCCTTTCTTCGAGAAACGGTAGCCTCAGTTTTTTGGGGGGATTCTCTCCCCCCGCCAGTTCTTTTCATATATGCTTTGAGTGATGTTGAAGATAATCCAGGTCCAAGAGTGGGCATGTGACATCTTCCTGGCCAGGATGGAACATTGCCCTGAATGTGGCATTTGGTTCAGGGATGAAAATGAGGCAGGCCCAGGATGTCTTTGGAGTCTGGCAGGAGCTGGCATCCATTCTGCTTCAGTGTGGTCCCTGATGATAAAAACCAACATGGAGGTGAGCATAACTGAGTGGCATTAGCCCCCAGATCAAGCCACACCTAAAGCTGATGTCTATTTCCTGGCCTTTTAAAGCTGTTTAGGCCAGCTAATTCCTTTCTTGTCCTACAGCTGTTTGAGTACAGTTTTCAACCAACCGCAGGTTAAAACAATGGACCAGGGACCTTTCTGAAGAAAACTGTGACCTGAAGGCCTTGAGCCCAGAGAAAAAGAGACAGATGACTAGGGTGGATCCATGTCTTTGGGGAGTCAGAGATCTTGGTCATCAGTTCTGGTCCCTAGCCAGCAAGTCTCCACCCTGAGAGAAAGCATCAGATTATCAAAGCTGAGTGGCCAAGGTTCTCATAACAGAGAGGAAGAAACTGGGAAAGGCTGCAGGTTGGAAAGCCTCAAAAGCAATCCCAGTTAGTGGCATGGAGGCCACAACGTGAGTCAGACTTATATGCGAGCTCACAGCATGGCAGGAGACATAAGAGCATCTTCTGCTAAGTCCCCTAATGGAGGGACAGAGGGTGGAGAGCTGAGGAGACAGTGACCAACTCTAACCAGGGAAGCCTTCTCAGAGGTGTGAGATGGAATCTGCTCCTGTTCTTTAGCTGTCCTCAACTCTCCCTGAGGAATCCCTTGCCCCCTCTCGATACATTTGGTTCATGTAGGGCTGACCTCATGCCTTGTTACACAGAGATGGGGCTTAGGCCAGGCCAGTGAGAGACTGTCCTGGGCTTTTTGCTGGAACAATGAGGAAAGAAGTACTCTATCCACATGGAGAAACTGGTAGAATCTGGTAGAAGCAGATGCTGGTGGCCATCTTCCTTGCCTCGTCAAAAGTCTGTGAGGACGCTAGTGTGGAGGAGCAGAGCAGAGGAGCAGAGTGAGGGAGTCAGATCGATTTTTGAGGACATCTTATGATGCCTGAACTTTTCAGTTACATGACATCTGTGTACATAAATGATCTCTTTTTTGTTTGTTTGTTTGTTTTCCATAAATGACCTCTTGCTGCATAAAGCCTATTTGAGTTGGGGTTTTATAAGTTGCAATGGGGAAGTCTTGCCTAACACAGGAGGCTCTTTGATCTGGATCTGGAAAGGCGAGGCATTTGGTGGTTTCTCTTCACAGAGAACAGGATGTGCTTAGGGAGGGCCACCACTGGTACCTTCTCTGTGGTACCTAGCCTAAGGAGATGGCCCCGAATAAGTCCATCCTCCCTGTACGTGCATGCAGCTCCTGACTTACTTATATCTTCTCTTCCTGAATCTGGCTTGGGCTTGTGACTGCTTTGACCAATAGACTACAGAGAACATGATATTCCTCAGAAGGTCTGCCAGCTTCTTCTTCTTCCTTCCTCATGGAGCGTTGGGTTGCCAAGTAGGACATCTAGAATAACCTGCTGGAGGAAGAGGCCACAGAAAAGCAGAATGACACATTACACAGAGATACAGGTCTCACCGGGGGGCCCTGAGATGGCAGACATCCAATCCCTAGCCACCACCTCAGGTATAGGCATGAGTGAGACCTCCAGTGAGACCAGTAGAACTGTCTAGCTGGACACCAGAATCATAAGATATAAAAAAGTTGTTTTATGCACTAAGTTTTTCGGTATGATTTCCCATCCTTCATATACACTGTGCCGATTATAAAAAGTAGCTCCCTCTAGGCGGATGAATTACCAAAAGGCACTTGTCTGTCCAGGCTACAGCATCGGTTGCTAGGGCACAGTGCTCAAGTGGGGGGAGAGACCTAGATGGCTATCAGTCCCTCAGGTAGGTGATACTGAATAGCAGGAGCTGTATGTCAGTACTTGGTGGTCTAGGGTTGGAGCATATGGACAGGAACGCTTAGGGGTCAGTCTGCACTTGTCTTATCAATCCCTCACCCCTGCTGGGCTTTTGGTCCTGCCCAGCCCCCTCCAGTGTCCTCTGGCACTTGAGGACTAGGCTGTCACTTGACTTTTTGGAAGAATACAGGTAAGGACCATCCCAAGGCCATGCTGGAGAAACAAGCACGGGACTCCAGCAGCTTCAGTCCTTCCTCTTTTCCTCGCTCTTCCTACTCTCCTCTGCACCTCAGCAGCAAGCAGCCATCCATTTCCCATAACCTCCTAGCCCAAGTCATCTTCCCTGAGGGGGTGTCTCACTTCTTTGCTACTGTTAATTTCCGGAACCAATCTCACACCCGTTTATTTCTTCAGGGTTGACTTTTCCAGGAGCCAGTGACCCATCCCTGCTTGCCTATCCTTGGTAGGTGGACGGACGGCCATCCTTTCCCCACGCATGCCTCTATAAAGAATGTTTGTTGGACGTCTCTCTTGGCCTAGACGGGGAACTTACTAGGGCCAGGGTGGGGCCGGACTCCTCTGTACAGTGTGGCTCCAGCACGGGGTCTCAGCACCTGTCAGGAACGTGCCCCGAAGCAAGCACCATCCCCAGTGATCTCTGCTCGCCTTCCGTCGCCACCTAAGGACAACAGCTTGATTTCTTTTTAAAAATATTTTATTTGGGGATCCCCGGGTGGCCCAGCGGTTTGGCGCCTGCCTTTGGCCCAGGGCGCGATCCTGGAGACCCGGGATCGAGTCCCACGTCGGGCTCCCGGTGCATGGAGCCTGCTTCTCCCTCTGCCTGTGTCCCTGCCTCTCTCTCTCTCTGTGTGACTATCATAAATAAATAAAAAATCTAAAAAAATATTTTATTTATTCATTCATGAGACAGAAAGAGAGAGAGAGAGAGAGAGAGAGGCAGAGACGCAGGCAGAGGGAGAAGCAGGCTCCGTGCAGGGAGCCCGACGTGGACTCGATCCCGGGTCTCCAGGATCAGGCCCCGGGCTGCAGGCGGCGCTAACCCGCTGCGCCCCCCGGGCTGCCCGCAGCCCGGTTTCCGAAGGCCGACGTCGGACAGGGGCTCTGGCTGGGACCCCACCACCACAGCCTCCTCACTGTACTGCACGGCCGTGAATGGGCCGACACGGGGCACTAGTTAATTTTTTTCCCGCCTGTTGGAGGCAAGAAGCCGCTTGCGCTGCTCAGGATCGCAGGTCTCCGGCAGATGAAGGCGCCGCCGGAGGCAAGTCTGCGAGCCGCGCCGCATCCCCACCAACGGAGGAGAACGAAGGGGAAGGAGGCCGAGGAAACGGAGGGGAGACAGCACACAGAAGTGAAGAGCCTGAGACAAGAAAAGAAAAAGAGCATGGACGGCAAGGCGGAGGGCAGTGAGGGGCAGAGCAGGGACCCAGCGCGACAGGAACGGCCGGGCAGGGCGGGAAGCCGGCCGGAGCGCGGCTCAGGAGAGCGCCGGGCCGGCCCATCGCCGCCCAGCGCGGAGGGGGGCCAGGGGGCGGGGCTTGGGGAGCGACCCACCCGCCGCGCAGCGAATGGTCGCGCCCGGAGGCGGCGGCCAATGGGCGGCCGGGATGTTGGAGCGGCGGCGGCGGTCGGGGTGCTCGCTGGCTGGGGGACGGCGGCCGCCGCCATGATGCTTGTTTGCTTTCAATGAAAACGAGGGGGGCGCGAAGGAGGAGGCGGCGGCGTCGGTGGAGGCGGCGTCGGCGGCGCGGAGGCGAGGGCGGCAGCGGGCGCAGCGAGGAGGGCGAGGCGGGAGGCCGAGAGGGCGGGAGGGCGTAGCGGTGGCCCGTCGGGGCGGCTGACGCGGTGGCGCTCCAAGGGGGAACAAAGAGCGGCGGCTGAGGCGGCGGCGGAGCGGCGGCGGCGCTGCAGCGGCGGGCGGGACTGGTATGGTGGTTCCACAGGTCAGACCCCGCTGCACTCACAGGGAGGAGGCGGCGGCAGCGGCAGCGGCAGCGGCGGAGGAAGGCGGCGCGCCCCGAGAGGTGAGCAAGGCGGGCCCGAGGCCCGGCCGGGCGCCGCTCCCCGCACTGGCCGCGCGCGGGGCCCGCTCGGTCGTGGCGCGCGGGGCCACGGCGCGGGCGGCTTGAGTGTGAGGCCCGCGAGCCCGCAGCTCGGCCGAAGCGGCGGCTGTTGGGGGCCTCCGAGGTGCCGCCGTGCGGGTCCGGCCAGCTCCCAGGCCGCGCCCCCGCGCCCAGCCCGGGGGGCGGGGGGCGCTGACTGACGGCGCGGGCGCGGGCGGGGGCGCGCCGGGGGCGGGGGCGGGGCGGGGCGGGGCGGGTATCGGGGACTCTGGGCCGGGATGGGTGGCAACTTTGGCGGAGGGGCTGTGTGGGATCGTGCGTCGTGGAGTGTGGCACTTCGCAGTTACCGCAACGCGGTGAACCAGCGGTTGACCCCCTAACCCGAAAGTATCTCAAATTCATTTGAACGCAGATTTGGGGTCGGTGGGCGGGAGTGACAGTGACCTGATTGAAGAGGCCCTTAGCACCCGACGGAGAGATTTCTGGTATCGCTCAGAACTTACTGGAAGCAGTTTTCTCCCGTAACCCCAACCGCTCGTCTCCCTTTTTATTTCTAAGCACCAATCGTTATTTTCTTTGGAAACTTTTTCTCTTTGACACTTTTCTCCCCCCCTCTCCCCCCGGAGAGCCTGCTAAGGAACACCTGTAATCTTTAACTGTTACCGCCGATGACGGCACTGTGCAAGTACCCTCGCTTGACCCATCTTGCATTTACTGTGTTGAGCTGAGGTAATTTAAATAATCTGCTTGAATTTGAGTTCCCATACTTACTGTTTTCTAGGTGCGTTGTCTCATTAGTGCTAGTATGGAATTTCTTACATTCTTGCGTCTGGAAATTTCATTTTAGGGAGGAAGAGAGGGAGTATGAACTAGTGAAAAATAAAACGGCGGGTAATGGCACTGATTGTTTTTCACAGGACGCTAGGGTTTGCCATTCCAGAACAGTTCTGCAGGCTTTCCGGGCTGATGTGGTCATAGATCAAAAGGTTTTGAAGATTTTCTTTGTAATTGCTGTCAGAACATTTGTTACAGTCTTCAGAATGTGATGTCTGTTAGAGTTGAAATTGCTTCATGTTTTTTTGACCAGTGATCTAGTGTAGTCAGTATGCTTTAAGCAAAATATTTGAAAAGCTATGACTGTGGAAACAGACCTAGAAAGGTTCAAGTGACTTGGCCAACGTGCTTGCAGTGAAGAGGGAAAGCACATGAGTATATGAGGTATTTGCTGGAGATTAGTTCTTTTGGGAGGGCAGAAGGTGTTTTAATGGGTAGAAATTATTTGTGGTAGTTGTGTCTCTTCAGTTCGCAGTTAAACGAGATACCAAAGTAGTCAAAACAAGAATGGAATAGAAGACAAGTTTTCTTGTGAGACTGAGAAGATTTGCTCTGAGAGTTGATACGTGCATAGTTTCAGAAATGTCTCAATCAGTGGTAATGTTGATGAAGAAGCCCTTTGAATACATACTTGGTTTGTAGGTGTTTTCAGGTTTCTTAAATCTTGGTGGCAAATTAAACCTACAATTTTTGTGAAATTTCAGACTGTTAAGTTGGTTATAGAACTTGGTCCTGGCTGCAGATAAAGGCATTAAAGGAATTTGCCCACTGTACTTGTAGTGATAAATTCACATTTTGGTCAGTGCTTAGGCATTCCACTAGGTACATGTTAACCTTCTTACATTGTTTGAAGCTTAAGCGTTTTTCATATCCTAGTGCAATGAAAGGCATAATGTATGTAAGGCATACTGGAATAAATGGTCAGTGGTGCTCACAGCTGTAGACCTTGGGTCATAAGGGCAAGAGACCAATATTTGCACACTGGCAACTTCCCCATATGCAGAGTAGACTGGTTGGGAAGCCCTTCCTTTTTTTTTTTTTTTTTTTTTTTTTTAAGATTTTATTCATGTATTCTTGAGAGACACAGAGAGAGAGTCAGAGACATGGCGGGAGAAGCAGACTCCCTGTGGACTCCATCCCAGGATCAGTCACTGAGCTACTCATGAGCCCCTGAGAAGCTCTACTTTTAAAGTGTTTATCGCTTTGGAAAGGTCCAAATAGGTTCAGCTAAGGACATGTATTTTAATGCAGAAAAGGCTTGGATTTGTAGGTATGCAGTGCTTGTATACGCTCTATTGTTGTGAATGGAACTTAATGTTATTGTCTAGAAAAATGTTCCAATTTCAGTGTTAATCCTTTTTTTTTTTTTTAATTTTTATTTATTTATTTATTTATGATAGTCACAGAGAGAGGGGGGGGCAGAGACACAGGCAGAGGGAGAAGCAGGCTCCATGCACCGGGAGCCCGATGTGGGATTCGATCCCGAGTCTCCAGGATCGCGCCCTGGGCCAAAGGCAGGCGCCAAACCGCTGCGCCACCCAGGGATCCCTCAGTGTTAATCCTTAGCTTCCATCTTGATGTACTTGTTTCCTTAAACTTGGCTGCTACTCACTCTACCAAGGTAGCCATTTTATAACAAAGTGTGATTAAGAAAATGCTATATGAAATTAAGAAATACTGAATAAACTGTAAACTTATGTATACAGAGGCTGGCGCATTAGAGTACAGTAGAATGCACCATATTTTAGTATTTGAACAAATATTAAAGAGGAGAAAGTTACTTGTGTACAAAATGGGGACTTATACATACGTTGCCTTAACCTTACCGCTTCTCTGGCCTTTACCTCTCCTTCATCCATCTGTATTTTCTTGATGACTTCATTTATGTGTCAAGGAATAGCATATTCTGGGTACAGCGTTGGACTCAGAGAATTCAAAAATGAATTGTACTCAGTTTTTGCCATGTAGTCTATAGGCATAGAAGGTGTACATAGTGCAATGAGAGAATAGAAGAAAGGATCATTAAATTTGTGGAAGACGTGTGAGCAGCTTACAGAAAATGACCTGGAATAGATGTTTGTCAAACTAGGGAGAGGGGATCATTTTAAATAGAAGAGAGGGGTGAGTGTACTGAGATGACAAGAGTTGGGGTAAGGCCAGTAGTGAGGTGTACTAGAACAAGAGAGTGACTGGAGAGGTGTGTGTCCTAGGTTTTGAGGGACGGTGTTTGCTCAGCTAAACATGAAGTTTATCTTTATCCCAAAAGGGAGGAGCCGAAATATTTTTATTAGGGGAGCAAGGTGATTTAATAGACCACTTTAACATCCAGCATGGAGGATTTAGTGGAGGCCCTACATATAAAATATAAAGTCACTTTTGAGACAGTATGGAGTTAGTGACTCTCAATCTTTTTAACCTGGATATAGTGTCTGTTGTGTTCCTTATATAACGAACTTGAGGGTTTGGCCAATTGCTTTATAATAGAGGGTTATTTGAAATCAAAATGTCAGGATGTTTTATTTTTATTTTTATTTTTTTAAAGATTTTATTTATTTATTCATGATAGTCACAGAGAGAGAGAGAGAGGCAGAGACACAGGCAGAGGGAGAAGCAGGCTCCATACAGGGAGCCCAACGTGGGATTCGATCCTGGGTCTCCAGGATCGTGCCCCGGGCCAAAGGCAGGCACTAAACCGCTGCGCCACCCAGGGATCCCTGTCAGGATGTTTTAGAAGTTAAAAGCAGTCAAATTAATGAAACCCATAAAATGGTACACTTGAAAATTCGGGCATTTGTTTTTTGAGCTAGGCTTAGGCATACTGTAGAGCTTAAGCTGGAGAAAACCACCCTCTGCTCTCTAGAAGTGAGGGACACCAAGTTTAAAGGTTGTGATTGTCCTAATAGTCTGCTGGGACATGGGCTGTATGTATGTGAATCTTGTGGGAGGGCAGAATTTTCTCTCCAGTAACTTACTGCAGTTGGAATATTGAAATTTTCTTAAAGTCTAAGAGCTCATCATAGAGCTGATAGTTTATGTAGCCCACTCTGCTGTGAAGCAGCATAGAGGTTCATGAAAGTTACCATGCTATGCAAAATTGTGCAGTAAAAACTATAGGCCCAAAGGAAAAAATGAAATCAAAAACAACACTAAAAAACTTAGTGGCTTATTGTTAAAAATAAACCTGATGAAAATGGTAACACAGTTTTAGACATGTGAAATGGTTAAGGAATGAATATATAAATGCTGTAATAAATGGGACACTTTACATTGAGAAAGTTTTGCTTGTGGAGACGGGCATGGAGAGGTTTGCTGCTTGTGAGTTTCTGTGAAATGGTAGAAGGCAGGTTACCTGAATGGTAACATGGTTACATGGTTACCTGAAGGTTAACATGGAATGTTAGAGTAACACCAGATATGGGTGGGTGGGTGTGGCTTATCACACACATAGCGAACTCATGGGCAGATAGTGTTTGAGGTATGTGTGTTTTGTTTGTTTCTGCACAGCTCATTTCAGCTAGGTGCAGTTTTCTACCTTCATCTAGTGCATTAGATGCAGATAAATGGTATGCAAATGAGAATTTCACTTTGTGCTCACATTCCCTGATATATCAATCACGTTGGAACAAATTCACATTTCAGAACAAGCAATATAGCAGAACTAATTATACGTGAATACAGCATTTTAAAATAGTACTAAAACTTGGTTCCAAAAATACTCAAACACCCATATGTCAGGCGCCATGTATCGACTTGCTATCCTTATGGGGCTTATGGTCTTTTGTCCCAAGTGGATTTATAGTGGGGTATAAAGACGAATGATCCAATAAAGCACTCATACAGTAATGAGGAATATACAAAGCATTTGGGCCATGCTGAGGAAGGAACAGCTAATTTTTTTTTTTTAAGATTTATTTATTCATGAGAGACATACAGAGAGAGAGAGGCAGAGACACAGGCAGAGGGAGAAGCAGGCTTCATGCAGGGAGCCTGACGTGGGACTCGATCCGGGGTTTCCAGGATCATGCCCTGGGCCGAAGGCAGGCGCCAAACCGCTGAGCCACCCAGGGACCCCGGAACAGCTAATTTTGTTTGGGAAATTTGATGGAGTCATCTTAGAGATCTTTGAG